TCCTATCCAAATTCCAATGTATTCACTCTGTGCATGCCCTCCTCAAATCCTAAAAGAACCTTTTTCTAATGCAGTGCCTGAAGCTTATTCTTCATTGGTCCCAATGCAGCTGATCCGAAAGGAGTTTAATATTTCCTTAACAATATTGCCAAAAAACTCACAACCTTCCTAAAAGGAAGTCTTTATAAAAACTTTAAATATGCAAGACAGAAGACTGATGTACACTTCAAAGAATTTACTTATATGTATATTTATTTGCATAGCTCTTAAAAGTGTAGGAAACTCCATTCAAGATGAGACAGTAGACAAAAAGCCTGCCTGAGTGGCCACCAAAAGAGAAGAAAAAACAGTGGTAATGCCCCTGATTCCCCACTGCCAGTAATATGCACTTTAAGAACATATTTGTTTGCTTTCTTTTTTCATGAATTTTCTTACTGCAATTTAAACTCATCTAAATGTTTGGAATCCACAATATACTTTGGCAATGAGTTTCCATGAAACAATTAGGCATAGTAGAAAAAAATACTTTTTTTTGTTTGTAACCTGTTGCCTCATCATTCATGTGATGTCCCCTTCTTCCCGCATTGAGTGGACAGTGATTAATGCTTAACTTCTCTTCATATTCTTTATGTTACTTGCAATTTTATAGGCCTTTAGTCTTCTTTTTTCCTCAATTGTTGATTTCCAGGCAGACCTCTGCAGGCATATTTTCTGTTGCAAAATCAGGCAGCATCTCCCTGGTTTTGTTTGGATGCAATAAAACAGTGTGGTAATGGATCACTATGTGCAGGTCAGCAATACAGGAGAGAATTTCTTAATGCACGACCCTATTTTCTTGTCCTATAAGCCATCAAAGATAAGCTGTGGCTCTGTACTGTACTATTGGCGTTGACATTGTATAACTATTACTGCCATCTACTGCACTGTGAAGTTCTTTCCCATTAAGGTAATACATCACTATGTCAACCTGAGGAGGTTGCCATAGATTTGTTAAAATATCCATTACAGCTTATTACATGGAAAAGCATGTGGGCCATAATGTTTTATTCAGCAAAATTATCTCACAGGTACCTGGGGTTTCGACAAGGTGCTTAAAGAGGAAGATTTGCTTGCTGACAAATATTCTTCCTTTTTTTGTGTGTATTAAATTAATGGGAACCATATGGTGAAGTACAGAAAAAAACCTGTGTTAGTATCCCTTGCTAACTACAGCCACCTGTCATAATGGTCAGACTAATAACAGGCCTGTTGGTGGTTGCTATTCACATATTCAGAGCCATTCTCAGCTTTTTTTGGCAGTCGTATATAATTATGCATCACTCTGCTCTAAACTCAAAATCCTGTCGTTAGCTGTTTTACAGATCCCGAAGGCTGATATAGGGCAACCATAGATAACCTTTCCTACTTAAAAGCCTGCTTGCTTAAGTTTTCAATAACCCTATAAAGTTCAGTCCATTTTTGTGTTTATATGCCACTCAGTTTAGGAGGCTCATGCCCACTAATTCTCAAGTTCTGACATAAATGTGCCATTGTGCTGGGTTTTTTTCATTACCATCATGTTTCACCTTCTCCTCATTCTCTGTGCCCCATTCACTGTCATCCTGCCTTAGCTCATTTGATTCTCTAATTTCAGTTGTTTGTCAACATGTCTAAAAGACATACAAGTGGATCCACCAATAAATTAATAATTGAAACCTACTGAAAGTATGAACTCATCCTTTATAATCGCATCTTTCCATCAGTCTTGTTCTTGTGATAAGTAGGCTGCAAAATAATTCTGTGTAATGAGTTTCATGTAGTAGTGAGCCATTATTGTTAATGTAAGCAATGCCCTCTGCCATATGTATTTGAAACAGTAATTGTATTTCCCTTTCAGGTTTTAAAGTCACAGGAGTGAATCTGTGACTGAAAAGGGTAAAACCAGCTCATAATGCCTTTTTATTTGCTTGATTGCCTCTGTTCTTTAAAGATCCACCAAAATGTATTTTGAAAGTAAAGTAAAAAGCTAGGAACTCTATAAACTAGCAGGGTCAAGAGTGTGGTTGGATTTCAGCCTTACCAGTCATTAAATTGCTGCCCCCCAGACGCTGCACCCAGAGAGCAGAAGCAGTCGGTGCCAGTATCGGGAAAGGAACGTTTCAGTCACTGCATTGGATCCAGACGAAGAGTGAAGGAAGCAGGATCATATTTTCAGTAAGACCTGAATTGAGGTAGTTTTCTGGTTAAATAGGAGCTTAACCCCTGGAGTTTAGATGGTTTTTTAGGTTTGGATTTTGTTTTCTGAACACGAATGTGTTTCAGACAGAGTTACAGATAGATATTTGACTGTGTTGTGTTCAAATTTTCAGGGTTAATTATTGGCTGCCTTTGATGTTCTCTCTTCATCATGCTGGAGACTGCAGATATCTTTTTTGGCATGTAATTCTTGCCTTATAATGTACAGAGGTGTTAAATACTTGACTCAGGCACGTGAATTCCACTCAGTAATGAATATCCCTGGGCTATGACCCCTTTTTAGAGCTGTCCCTCAGTATGTAGCAATACCATTTTCCTACGTGAGAGAGTTATTATGTCTATAAATACATTCAAGATAGTGAATTGCTCAGATAATAATAGGAGCTGCACAACAGAATGAGTATCTAGAGGAGAACTGGATGAAATAATTTGGCTGTCATTTTTTCATGTAATAAAAAGAAATGAACACATCTTTGGTGATGATGAAATATTTTCTGAATTAATTTCAAGTCACTGAAGTGTTTGTATTGTGAAAAAATGCAAAGTATGAAAGGTCAAACTTTTCATTTTGACATTTCCAATTGGAATGTCTAATATACTTTTAAGTTGACAAATAGTCTTTTATCTTCCAAAAGTTTCAGTGCTGTTTGAACCAAAAAAAAGTGTAACAAACATACAATCTTCTTAATCTGAAATAATTTGTTGGTTTTTTCTCCACCTTCTCAATTTTCTGTATTTTTTAAGAAAGAATTGTTTCAGGTTATCTGCAAAAAAATATTTTCATTTGGTTTTTTTTTTTAACTGCTAGGGAACCAAAATATATAACATATAGTGAACCCCACTCTGTGACGGACACAGTCTGACAGTTGTGCTGTATAACTTGCTGCTCTTCTTAAGGTCTATTACTTTCTCTGTTTTCAAGCAAATGTATTTATAACAATGGCAGATAACTGCTAAGGACAGATAATTAAGAAGAGAAGAGTAAGATGTTGCCCCTTCTCATGAGAGTTAGTTATATTATATTCCTGCTTCAAGCCAAATTCCCTAAGGGGCACTCAATTTAAGAAAATTATAAGCTGAATTATTTATAAGTGTAACTGAGTTCATAAGGTAGTTTATCAACAGTTATCAAGATACAAATATGGTGGATAGCACGACTAAAATTTTTTCTCCAATAACATTGTATATAGTTTTCATTGTTGTTATAAATTCAGTTCTGCTTCTTTTTATGTATAAACAGACCATTTTATAATATAATATTTTCTTTAGATATTACAATATTTTTACATGGGTTAGTTTCAAATGTGTATTTCCAGCTTCAATTCATCATCAACCTTGTGTATGCAGGCAGAGACTATTATTACTGCTTTCAATGTCTTTGCTATTTGCTTAATAGCAGGTTTCAGTTGATGTGACCTTTTACTTGATAAAAAGAAAATAGAGCATCAATGGATTGCTATCATCAATAGGATACAATTAACCAGGCGATGATTTAATGAAAGAATAATGTCAGAAGAACTGTGTTGGAAAAGCTATTTTAAGACTTGAAGACAATTTTATGCAAAAAGCAGATGCAGAAGGTAGTGATTTCATTAGCATAGTGCTTAGAGTTGACAGCGTCCTTGATTTTCTTCTCTTTTCTCTAATTTTATGCTTAAGTGATCATTGAGGTAAGTGATGTGGAAGAGAGAAGTACTTTGTCTTTAAAAGATGAAGCAAAATATTTGAAGAGTAAAAGGAGTCTTCAGTCATTTGCCTTCCCAAGTTACTGTAGTGGCCAAATAATGAAAGCTGTGACGTCCATTAAATTCAGCATGATCTTTGCTCGCTGGCTGGATAGTACCTCATCCAAACAGTTCTAAGCAGGTAACAAAAAGATGACTTGAGAATTGGTTTTAAGGGCGTTATTTTGTAAATTGCATGACCTTTTTTTTTGAATAAAACAACTCAAAGAAAGTAACCAGGGGTGTCTTGACAGGAATGAAAAACGAAACACTATTGTTCATCAAGAGCTTCGTTATGGAAGTACTGTGTGCTGAAACTATATATATTACATAGAAAGCTTTCACTTTCTCTCATTTTTTAATTCCTTTTCTATCTCATCTTTAATGTAACTTTGCAAAAGTTTCTATTCTTATATTCTACTGGAAAGACTTAGCGTCCCATCTCACCAAAATACAATGCAGCTGGACCAACAACTCATCAAACATCATTCATTCATTAATCAGATTTTCAAAATAAGAAGTATGTTACCTTAAATCAACTGTGCATTTATTAAACTTCTTCAGAAGTATTTCCTGTTACTTTTGTATTGTCTGTATATTATGGCCATGCTACGATACTCCAAATTTAGCCTTTTTTTGCAATAAGAACTGTAAATAAACATAAAAAGGATAGTCCTAGAGTCCAAAAACTCGTGCATAAAGAGATTAAATGAGAAAAAAATAGAAGAGAAACAGAAAGACAAAATGATACACGCCCGTGGGCTCTGGAGAAGAATCAGTTGTGCCAAAGGTAGTTTGTGCTGACATCGTGACTGTGTCATTGCTCTGAAAGGGGCAGGTTATCCTTGCTGTAAAGCACAATGGAGACATAGAGAAGTGCAAGCGGATGAAGTGACCAGTAAAACTAGCTCCAAGAATTATCAAAAGCCAGGGTGCAGAAAATTACAGCCCAACTAAATATTAAAATGATTTTATTTTCAGATAAGGGTAAGTACAGAAAATACAGTAGGAATTATTAGTGTACTGGAAAAGTACATCCTTAGCCAGCAATGCTTCTTTCTTCTCTGAAGATATCATGTCCATTCTGGGAATTCAGAGCATGGTGGCTTTGAAATCGACATTTCAGACTTCCTAATCTGTACAAAAATATATAGACAAGAAATGCAGGCAAAAAAATATGAACAAACTATGTCCAGATAAATGTCTAAAGTGTGTTCTTTTGCCATTTGTATTCTGAAGTGATGGCTCTGGTTGAAGTAAAATTAAGAGCTCTGTTGGGATTTGAGTGAAGATATCTTATTAAAACAGCAGATTATATGTAATATGCTGTGTTTACAGGTCAGGAAAAGTTGTTGCACTGAAAATTCCCTTCGTACAGAGAGCAAGCCAACAACTTGCAGAGACGTACAGAATTTACATTTTTTAACTTGCTTACTTAAAAAAAGATACCCAAATATTCCTTCCAACATACTCCCCGAGCTATTTTGGTGTGCTCTTGCAATGACTTCTGCAATTGTGTAGCATTGCTCTCTCCCAACAATTATGCTCTCTCTTGAAATACTTAGTGTAGTATCAAAACCAATTCAGTCTGTATGAACTTTTTTGGGAAAATGATTTTGTATCATGTTTATGCAGATCTTTTACTGTATTCTTTTTTTGTTGTTGTTTTTATTTTTCTCCTGCTAGCCTACTTCTGTCCCAACTTCATGGGCTATTTGTTTTTACTACAGGAGTCATGATTTTATGTAATTGTTGAAGAGTCATTTAGAGTCTAGTTTTCCAATTTAATTTAATTTGTTTTTACTACAGGAGTCATGATTTTATGTAATTGTTGAAGAGTCATTTAGAGTCTAGTTTTCCAATTTAATTTAAGTGACAGATCCTCCTTTTTTTTTTTTTTTGTTCTCTTTTCCCTTCTGCTACTCTATGTGAGAAAAGAACTATTGATATCTTGTTGCTAATTCATTCAAGCCTGAGAAATATCTTCACAATTCTGCTTTCCAGATCAAACCTCAGATGAAAGAATCAGGTAAATTATTAAAACAGATAGACAATGTCTTCTGGTTTAAACTCAATTGTTTTGTTTGTTATTGTCCATTTTTCCATGATAGGTTCCATTCAGCTGGAATTTTATATTTGGCACCATATGAAATATCTGCTTACAGAAACACATATTTTGACACTATGTTGACATTTGCAAAGTATCAATAACCAGCACAATTGACACAGGCCAAGGAGTCATTAAAAGTAAGTACTCAGCATCTTACTAAATAAATTAACAAATTACTCTTTCATACTGTCATTACATTGCTGTGACTCTTGGTGTCAGGTGAGTAATTATTTACTTATGACTAAAAAGGAAGACAGAAATTTATACTGTATAGAGACTTTGGGAAAAGAAGAGTAAACTTGTACTTCACAAACATAGGGATGTAATTCAAGATACCTAAGTTAAGACACTAAACTCTATGTACACCTACAGAATTAGCCAGGAGAGAGAAAGGCTGCACCAGTGGGTGATTCAGAGCAGGATATTAAATAAGTATCTCAAGAATACACCATTTTGTTTTTATTTTTCCATTCTAATTAATGCATATACAAAGTAAAGTGACTCCATTTTTACGATGGTGTTCTTTTCTCTTTCTTTCTAGTGCTGTAATTTCAATATGATAATATTTCTTTTTTGTTTGCTTGTAGTCCAGTGGGAGAGGAAGACAGGCAAATCCTATGTAATTTTTTACCACATTAAAAGCCACAGGCTCTCTGTTAAAGCTGTATGTTCCAAATCCCTACTTGACCTGTGAGAACAGCTTGTTACTGAAGTGAAACAAATGTAAATTCCAAATTAAAAAAAAAAGGCAAGGGAACATTTAATTATCAAATTTGCTTCTGGCAAAAAGAGATTCCAATTTTCTTCTGTTTTTTCATTCTCTGGAAAACCTGCAAAAATTAGATAATCCTTAATCCAAAACTAATTCTTTATTCTTTATTTATTCTTGCTGCTTTCCTTCTTGTCTTGAATTTCTTTGTTTTACTGAGTATTGCATATAAAAGATGTGAGAAGCTTCAACGCCAGTTCTTTAAAACAGGAAGTGGTTCTTACTTTTACAGCTAAGGCATGAGAGTCCATTATGCCAGGGACAATTAAGTGATAGCTTATGCCAATCTTGGTAGCCTGTTTAAGGTAACACCATGTACTCCTATACTCATAGAATCATTTAGATTGGAAAAGATCCTTAAGATCATTGAATCTTAACACTGCCAAGTCCACCACTGAACCATGTCCCTAAGACCCATGTCCACATGTCTTTTAAATATCTTCAAGGATGGTGATTCAACCACTTCCCTGGGTTACCTGTTCCAATGCTTGACAACCCTTTTGGTGAAGAATTTTTTCCTGATATTCAGTCTAAACTTTCCTTGGCACAACTTGAGGCCAGTTTGTCTAATCCTATCACTTACTATGTGAGAGAAGAGACCAATCCTTGCCTCTCTACAGCCTCAGTTCAGGTAGTTGTAGAGAGCAATATGGTCTCCCCTCATCCTCTTTTCCTCCAGGTTAAATGATCCCACTCCACATAAGACCTGTGCTTTAGACCCTTCAACAGTTTCATTGCTCTTTTTTGGACGTGCTCCAGAACCTCAATGTTTTTCTTGTAGACAGGGGCCCAAAACTGAACACAGTATTCAAGGCGCATTCTCACCAGTGCTGAGTACAAGGGGACAATCACTTCCTTATCCTGCTGGCCACACTATTCCTGATACAAAGCAGGATGCTGTTGGCCTTCTTGGTCACTTGGGCATACCGCTGTCTTATATTCAGCTGGTTGTTGACCAACACCCCAGGTCGCAGGCTGGGATCTTTTGTCCCAGGCAGCCTTCCAGCCATTCTTCTCCAGGCCTGTAGTGTTGGTGGGTTTGTTGTGACCCAAGTGCAGGATTCGGCACTTGACCCTGTTGAATCTCATACCATTGGCCTTGGCTCATCGACCCAGCCTTTACAGTTTCCTCTGTAGAGCCATCCTACCCTCAAGCAGATCATCACTGCAGCCCAACCTGTTGTTGTCTGCAGACTTAAAGTGCACTTGATCCCCTCATCCAGATTGCTGATCCGATTAATCTGACTCCAATAATGAGCACTGGGGAACAGCACTTGTGACCAGCTGCCAAATGGATTTAACTGCATTCACCACCACTCTTTGAACTTGGTAGTCCAGCCATTTTTTTACCCAGCAAAGCTATGGACAGTCAGTTTCTCCAGGAGAATGCTGTGGGAAACGGTGTCAAAGTCTTTCCTCAAGTCCAGGTAAACAACATCCACAGCCTTTCCCTCATCCACTAGGCAGGTGACCATGTCATTGAAGGAGATCAAGTTAGTCAAACAGGACCTGCCTTTCATAAACCCATTCTGACTGGGCTGATCTCCTGGTTGTTCCGTACAAACCATATACCTTTAATATTTTAAAATAATTTAGAAATTTTGTATTGACATTTGTCTTGATGTGTCCATTGACTCAACATAATTAATAAAAATGTTAACATGCAAATTCCCATTTGAATTATGTACTACATTCATTACTGGCAAGGTAAAAGCAATTGTCCATCAGGAGGAAACTGATTTTTTCGAGAACTTTGAAGGATTCCTGCATTTGCTATTGCAGACAAGAGCTCGCTCCTAATCCCCATTAATTTTTTCAGTCAAAATGTCATATAGGTACCTGACTCATGCAGTTCGTTTGGCATTTACTGATTAAACCTCATGGGCATGGAAATACAGGGGAGTTCTTGCAAAATGAGTTGAACTGCATGAGATGATTGAAAGACTAATGATCAGATTGTCCAAAAGTATTCATAGTAGGGAAAAAACCCCAGAAGCTTGTTATTCACTTTGACCTCACTACTGCAAAACAGAAGTCAAAACCCCATAAAGAACTATAATAATTTTTAAGTAAAAAGATTTTTCAGAATAAATTGCCTTTTTTAAGGCATATACCTAGAAAAAATAATAACATTGAAAGATTAAATTTGATGCAGAGCAATTTACGTATTTTTTCTTTAGTAGTTTATCTCATATAGTTCATCTCTTTCCTCTGAAAAGACCCACTGTAACCCCTGGACAGGAATAAATGTGCTATCTATAGAGTATTTTGAAATGACTACTTAGTTGTAGTTAACACACAGCTCCTTGTCAAATTCCTGTTTATGTTTGCATTTCAGACAGTACAAACTGAATGCTGTGCAGTCCTCAGCACATTATTCAGCAACGAAGAAGGATGTTCAGTGAATGAATCAAGAGTAAATTAGTTTGCCAAGCATTACCTTCTTTCTTTGACATAATTATGGGATAAGGTTCATGTATTGTTTTTTAATCATTATTTTAAAATCCAAGTATTCTATATTGCTTTCCCATTACTACTTCTTACTTACCTGTTAGCATATATACCTCTGCTTATGAAATTCTTTCTCCACCATCTGGGGTATTTATGGGAGAGAACTGTTTTAGAACCAGAAGAAAATTCATTGTTTAATTATTAGGATGCCAGTAAAGTTTATTTGGAAAATTTTATTATATGAAAGACATAATTTGCATCCCTGGAAGTTTCTTAAATATTAAATCTCACTGCAGATAAAAAGATCCCAAAATTTCATTTAAAAGATCCTGGCTGCTTTGTGTCATTTGCCTGCATTGCTAGAAATAACATCAAGGATAATTTTCTATCTCTCTACAACATTACTAGCAATCATTAACTGTAAAATTTAATTTCCCTTAATGAATATATATGATGATATTATATTATTATATTTTTGTAGTTCAGTTATAGCTATTGTAATCATAATGTTAAACTTGCATTTGTAAGGGATAGCCTATGATTAGAGGTAATAGCAAGTAATGGTTCTTAAGCATTGTAAATATTTATCCCCAAGGCCTTGACTCAGTAAAACATTGTTCCAAACATTACCAGCAGTTCTCCATTTTTCCAGTTCTAATAAGACCTTTTAGAATCTCATTGAAGCAAACCAACACTTGTATGGCCCTACCCCCAAGTTCAAGTCTCTGGCTGTCATTTAATTAAAAAAAAAAATAATCCAAAACAAACAAGAAAATTACAGAAAAAAGTTTAAATTGTGGTTGTATTATCCAGGTAATATAAGCCAATATTTTATAATCAGTATATGGGGTTTTCCATTCTGGCTTCCATGTAAATGATGTTCTACTACACAGCAGCTACACAAGCACATAAAGGTTGGGCTGGTTTCAAATTAACAAAGACAGCTATGCATTATTCCTTTTAAAGATGTAAGCACATAAAAATAAACAGCCTAGAAATACTAGGATGGGATTAGTTAAAGGATTCCTTGCTTTTAAATAGGAAAAAAGGCAAATCTGAATCTAAAACATCTTTTAGGAAAGAGTGGGTTTTAATCATTGTTAAAGTATATGACTTTTTTAAGCTACTCATGTCTTATTTGATCCTTCTGGAATGAGAAGTTCATTTTTTCATTTCTAACAACAAATGTGTAGGATAATATTATATTATTCCAGCTGAAAATTTCAGCTGTATTTTGTAAACATAAAAGAAATAACTGGTCAAAATCAAACAAGGAATGAGAAATTTATTTAAATGGCATGCTATTATATTTTTGATATTTTGACTTCTCATTAGAATTTGAGCTATAAAAATTTTCTGACGCTAATTATATTTCCCGGGGTTAGACAGCTTTTTCTTCTCCTGCTATCAATCTATGATACAGAAAAGCGGGGGCCATGGGTTTCTACCTTTTTTGTAGATTTAACAGAAGGTCTAATGGTGAAGTGGAGGCAGGAAAAAAGGTTTAAAATGCAATTTGGGGAACAATAGGACTGTATTTGAAAATCAAAGCAAAATTATCAGAATGTGTTATGCATTACAATGTAAAAATAGAGAAACAGTACAACCTTGTCCATGTGCATCCATGAAAGCAACCTTTTTTCTGTGTTGTTTTCTCAACCCTTTATTTGCTTGAGGGGGAAAAAAAGTCCAAAAAACCAAAGGAAAATTGTTTAAATTCAAGTCAAATTGTCTGCAAAAGCAGAGCTTCTCTCTAGTGATATTGCTTTTATCAGATTCCTGTCTTATGCCTTTCATTTTTAGTCTAGGTACTGTATAGATACACTAGAGTTTCTTAAAATCAACTGCAGTGTTTCTATCCCTGAAGAAAATGCTATTCTCTGAGGTATAGACAAACTGACATAGACCAAAGTGAGGAAAGAAGGCATTTATACAACATGACCACACTGCTGTATGTATGGCAAATGCTTAATAGATTAGCTGAAGACAGATATTTTTTTTAAACAACATAGGGTGGAGGTGGGGGAAAAAACTTAAGTGTTTAATGAATAATGAAAGTTGAACAATTTAGTGGTCCCACTGCTTAAAATACCTCTGAAAACCCCAGTCTGAAACATTTGCTGAACCCAGGCCCAAGGGCCAATTATTATTTAATAAGAAAGATAAATACTGAGATGTTTTCTAGTTCTCTCAAACTGGAATAGGATATGCTATTTTATTGATTTGATTATCAAAACAGCATTGATACCTGCTTATCTATAGGCTGTAAAACCTGATAGAAAGAGCCCCACCTGCCATTGCTGTTCAACGTCCCAAATGATCTTGTGAAAATCTATACCTGTGAACTAGGGAAGGGAATGGAGAGGTAGAAGGCTCTCCAGGGAGAGGGAGGGGAGAGCACAAGGTGGATGACGCTTGACCTTCATTATACTCTGTGTTTGGAGAATGTTGTTCTGATTTCTGTCACTTGCTTTATGCCCTTTCACTGTCTTAACCTTTGCAAGTTTGACTGTAAAGTCTTTAAGGACAGCCAACTGATTCGGTTTAAAGAATTTGTGCAATAACTAGGACTATGGAGCTCTCTGATTTTCTGTGATAAAATTTGGATAGAGTTGGGGTGGAAGTAGACCAAGAAGAGCAGGCTATTTGCTCTAGCCCTTCTATCTGTGAACATAATCTCAAACTTTTGTTTGTTTTCCTCCTCTTCTATGCTGAATGCTGGTTTGCTCGTGAGGGAAGTGTGCCTACACAGTTCTCCTGTGTGGCTGACATCTTACTTCTTCTGATGGGGGAAAATGTCTAACTACTTGCACAGCTGAAGCTATTTTTGTGGACTGACCTAAGGTGAAACAGTTTCAAAATAATTCTGCACTTCAAACATAGCCATGAATTGCACAGGTCTCACTGAAACTTATAGGAAAATATTTCCTACAGCACCTTATCCCAATTAGAAGTGTGGTAGGCTTCAAGAGGAACCCAAGGAACTAAATCCTTGGGAACTAAATCCAAGCTGAACACCTTGACTTAGGAAATGGTGGGATGCTAGACACCTCACTCAGCACTTCCAGGTCTCCTCCAAAGCACGCTGAAGGCAATGTTTATGTTCTCATTAACACAACGGGCTTTGAACTATTCTCTAAATTTCCTTCATTTAGTCCACACTTTGACAGCTCAGTGGAAAGGAAAGACCTGGACTTTAATCTCACCAGCGCAGCTGTACAAAAAAGAGTTTTACTCTGAGAAAGGTCTAAGTGACATTTTCTCCTCCTCTCCCTAAGTAGTATGCCATTTGTGCTTCATAGCATTTGTTCATAAATCACACACAAAAGTGCAGGTCATGTGGAGTGGAGAAAGAAAACCTCAGAAAGCAGAACAAAGTATCATGGCTGATGGTGTGCAAATTATTTTAAATTTAAAATCTAACAAGGAGACTTTAGAAATAACGATCTGTGTACTAGTCGATGGAGCTTTTAGCTCAAGTTTGCTTTCCTAAATTTGTTCTGTCCCAGAAAGCAAAGATGCAAAGAACAGTTAAATGTAAATGCAGACTTATTGGATCTGGCAAGCTTTTTGACTTGAAACAGTAAGCTCAAAAGCAAACCCTTTCTTAAGCATTATTGCCCATCAGTGACAGAGGAAACTATCCAAGCCATTGTTCACCTTAAATGAACATCTTTTAGCAGTCCATTGAAAAACTATTCTGTTTCAAGAATTTCTGTCAGTAAAACAACAGCCCTGAAACAATGTCCAAAAATGTTCAGAAGAACAATGAGAAAGAATAAATATATGGAAGATGGAGAACAATACAGCATTTAATGAGCAGTACAAATCTTTAGGAAAGAAAACTGTTTAACAAAGCATTTTTTAATTCTCGCTGTATCCTTCCCAAGATGTAGAGGAACAGTGAATTTCCCTAAATAACACTGCATTAGGTTAAGTGCTGCATCTTTAGAATTGTTTGGTGTGCAAATTTCACTTAACAAATTACTTTATCTGACATGATTAAAAAATGTTCTATTCATTTCTTCATTAAACTTCAGGTTAATTACAAAGTTACAAAACGTATTTTCTTATTGAGCTCTCCTCTGCTAATCCAGGCATTTGAATACAAGGTGGTGGAAACAGACAATTTCAATACTGCAGTGAACACGTTTGTGTTTTTTTTTAATGCACAGTTCCTCATCGGTGAAATTTATTAGGAGCTCTGTAGAAGAACATAATGGTGAGTATGTAGCATCACAGGCCAGGGTACTGCTCTTGTATACTGATATAAAGACTTCTCTGAACTGTAGCAGTAGCTGGTGTAGGATATGTCATACGCCGGTGGTGCTGTTGTTCTGCTTACATGTTAGGGTGTTGCAACCTATGTTCTTCATATCATAGGCCTGTTAACCCCTAATCCTCCTTGCACCCTGCCTTCCACTCAGTTCTCCATCTAAGTCTTATGAAATGTTATGCACCCATCCTATGCAGGAATACCCATGACTTGCCCATTGCCAGACCCCTTTTACACCAGTTGGCATTAGTTCCTGAAGGCTGCATCTGGACTGCTGTGAAATGAGCTCAAAGAATAAAGTACAAATAAAAATTCTGGTCAGGCCTATCAAAAATGGCTAATGGTTTTGGGTGTGTAGACTGCTCAAACTCCTCAAAAGGGCTTTGAATGGAGGATGAGAACTTTAGATGCTTCAACTTGGCAGGTTTAGTAGTTTTCTGTGAAACAGTCAGGTTTTCCTCTTCATTACCTACAGCTAAGACATCCCAGAAAGGCATTGTATGTCAGTAGTCTATCTTAAGAATATACTAAGGTTTTATAACATTTTAGGAGAAATGGTGTATATTGCTTTTCATGCATAAAGCCAACTATTAACAATTTAGAAGCAGTAATATTATGTCCTTAATATTATGCCTTTGCAACTCTTCCTGACTGAATGGCAACACAATTGTAACATATTTTTGTAGTACTGCTGTTACAGTGCTTTTCAGCTCCACATTTTATAACCATAAACATTTTCCATGTGCTTTCTGGACCTGTTATAAATTTCCTATATTCCCCTTGTCAGGTGCTTTAGTATTTCATGTCTCCTTACCACTGTATCTCTTGTCCTCGGGAGATGCACATACGCAAAACCTGTGGCCTGAATGTGCTGAATGTTTTCTGGAATTATAGTTGTGAAATCTGAAACTCTGGAATGCCTTTTGTAAAAGAGTAGTTGACTACAAAATATTAATTATGACAGGAGGATCAAGACACAATTTCAAAAGGAAGCGGACAACTGGATTCAAAACTACTTTGAATATCTTATTAAGGACATAGGCACCTCTTATTTAGTGAGCTGTATCCTGAACAAAAATGCTAATCGTAAAAGGTTCAATGATGCTCAGTAACAGATGTAAGAAACATATTGTGTCTGCTAGTGCTGATTCATCACACATGCAAGAAACTATTAAATCAGTACATTATAAATTTGAAATGTCAGTGAAAGTTCAGGCATGTATCACGATCATCTTCATAGATCAGATCCATTGATTTAAGCTGTACAAAATTACTGTCTACTTTTGATTATTTACTGTGACCTAATGCTGTTTTAGATTCAGTTTCAAGAGAAATTTTCCAAGACAAACTTTAGCCATGTGAGAATATTTAATTTTCCTGGCTTCCTATAGCCAGGTCGAAGATGTTTCTTCTGCGGAAAACGCTCTCTGATATTGTTAAATAGGATTCTGTAATCTCCAGCAGCTGAAGTGTTTAGTTTGCATCCAAGGGGGGGTGGTATTTTTTTTTTTTTTTTTTTTTTTTACTCCAAGGCTAAAGATTAGCAGCTTTAAAGTAACATAAATGTTAGTGTTTATTGACATATCGTGTTTTCTGTTTAGAGATATCTATAATGACCTTGTTGCCATATTTTATTGTAATTACTACTTTTCCAGTTCTTAAAAATGCCTGCTTTTCCAGCTGTCTCCTCACTCATGCCTTTTTCCTCTTGTGCTCACTTCAGTTTGGTCCTCTCTTTATTCTTCTTCAGTGATTGAAAGTCAGAGGGAGAGAAGAAATAAAAAGGTTAGAGAAAAGAAACAAACTCTTCTTGGAACTATTCACTAGGTGAAGCTATTCACCTGGAGCCATTCAAGAGCAACTGCTTTGAATTCCTTTGAAATGCCATTCAAACTTTTAGTTGCACTCACCTCAGTAAATAATGCTCTTTGAAGCCAGGGTCGGGGCAAAAACGAACAATGGAAGAAGATGGCACCGGGAAAAAAGCAAAAACTGTCAGAAGCAGAGAAAGATAGTGCTGGAAGGGAACATCCAGGCCATAGATGAAAATTTCTTTCCACTGCATGCAGACAACTCTTATAATTCTACTTCTACACATTTGAAAATTTGATTTTAAAGCCCACTTAGGTTCATGTCCCCATCATTTCTATTAGAAAATAACTCTAGAGAGTCATTTGTTTAAAAAAAAAAAGAAAAGAAAAGAAAATTAATTTCCGTTATAGTTTTTATTCATTCCTAATAGGAAAAACAGGTGTATGACTACACCACACTTGGCCCCTTCTATTCCACCAAGTCTTCCATACCCTCAAATGCCTGCACACAGTGCCCATCCCATGCACACATGCACATCATGCTATAAATACCACTCTGGAGGGCTAAAACTAAGCCGCCATATTATTTTGACACTTGGAGCTGGACCACCCTACCCCCTTCTTCCCCAAAGTAATAATTGTGTTAAAGCTCCAAAGAAGTACTACGTACAGCCGGGAAGAGACCAGGCTGAACGCCAGGCAGTGGAGACATCGCCAGCCTATTCCAGTGGCCCCAGTCTCAGAGATGCCTCTCTCTTAGCCCTTTGCCTGGGGACTGAGCTGACTAAGTGGAGCACTGGCCTTTTCAGGGTAGATACAGTTGGAATGGCATCCAGCTACTAGAATAACTGCTTCTACACAAACACACAGCCTTCTGTGCCTCCCTGTCATTGTTTTAGACTTTATGCACATTTCCCGTTCTGTTAGTGCAAAATTCTGCCAAAGGCCATTGTCATTTTAACATGCCACAAAATTTTCCCTGTATAAAAACAAACAAAAAAAGGTTACTTCCAGCTAGTACTGCATGTTACAAACAAATGTGCACATAATTTTGGTAACTTTTAGTCTTCTTCCTCTTGCCTGCAGCTGTATTTAAAAGAATGAAGTTTTGAGACCTAAACTGATTTCAAAGGAATTGGTTACAAACTTAACAGATATTGTGTCAGTATTTGGCTTATTTAAGTTGATTGAAATATCATTTAGATGGGATTGTTGTCACTCTCCAGTCTTGACAATGTTACTGAGAGCTCAGTCTTATGGAGTAAATAATGAATAAAGACTTTAAAACTTCTCTGTGAGTTAAAACATCTAATGAATTGAATCAGCAATAACTTGTGAATTTAAATAGTTTAAAATAATTTGTGGGTAAAAAAGTAGGAGGGATGAACAGAAAAGCTGACTTTTTTGTTTTGTTTTTAAAAATAAGCCTGGTAAGTTTGATATTGTGTTATTGGTCCCTGTTGAAAAAAAGAAAATCTTTCCTTAGCAGAATGATAATCCATTCATCTGATTGAGACAATTTTGTTACCTGTATCAATTAATTCTTTTTTCAAGCTGTGATCATCTGTGTTTGAACTGAACACACCATCAATCAGTCAGTCATTCATGCAGCTCATGCAGCTGAATGGCCATTTAGGGGAACAGCTTATCACTGCAGTTGGTAAGCCAGCAAGTTCAAGGGTAGGTAAGAAATATAAGTGGAAAGATATATTCTGCATTTGACAAGTCATTAAATCATACATAATTTTAATTGCAATTGATATACAAAACAGTAATTGTAATTGTTTACAACTGCAGTTGTAATAAATTATTTAAACATCCCAGCAATCAAGATCCTAAATATATGAATTGCTAGTACCTAACATATTATATCTGTTCATTATTTGTGTAATCATTTTTCTGTGGCACTTGTTATTAGTCCGTCTCTAGAACATCAGTGCTGTATGAAGTAGTGGAAGGTGACTGCAAGACAGCCAGTAGGTCTTTCACCACAGTGGAGATGAGGCAGATATTCTCATAGTACCTAACTAGCCCCACAGTTGCTACATTTGTCTGTGTGAAATCTTATTTTAGTTATGGAGGGTGGTATCTAGTGACTTTTGTTTGGAATTAAGCACTGTGAAATTACTTGGATCATGATCAGATCATGACTGCTTTTCAACCAGGCATAATGTGAGCTGTGAATAGTTGCTGTCTTGTGACTGCAGTGTCTTTAAATTCTTTTTTGATTCATATTAATGTAATTAGGAATATGGGTTGGATGTGCGGAACATCAGCCTCACTTTCATAATCTTTAGATTTAGAGAAGAGAAAACTGGCCATACTTTGGTTTTTACTCTCCCAAAATTCGAAAAGACACAGCAGGCCCTAAATGAGTTCTTCAAGGCCATGTCTACATTAGCTAGCCAATGCAACCCTGCAGAGGCAGCCATGTGAGGTGAAATACCAACAGTAGACACCTCTAAAGGATGTACTTTGAATCCACTTTAGTCTGATCCTGCAGACTGATGCCTGTTACTATCTTGAGGCCATTAGTTGTGCTCCTGGAGAGAAACTCCTGGTTTAGTTTCACCTGAAATAAATCCAGTATGTGCACTGAAATGTCAACTGAAGTGTGGCAAGTGGGGACATTTGGGAGATTCACATCAAAAGTGTACTTCTCATCTGAACTGAAATGTCATATAAATGCACCCATAGGGAGGTAGTGAGCAGTGAAGTTTCTTGTAAATGCAGTGTTTCTATAAGGGGCGTCAGAGGATTACAAGTACCATTAATGAATTCTGCAGTCTAAGACAGAATCTATATGTGGCAAAGCTGGAAAAGCTTAGGCAGCCTGAACAAACCACCTGAGCAAACTAAATGAACCACCTTCAAAAATGTATTTTCAGGTCATTGTCAACGTTATTTGACTTTTTTCAATCAAAGCTTTGCAGTTTAGTATTTTACTTATAAGAACAACTATGTCATTTTCATTTGTCAGTCTGTGCTTAATAAAAGATACTTCAGATATAGCTTCAGATTTAACTTAAGCTTTTAATATTTTCGTAAAATGTATTGATAAGTTAAAACAAAAGTGCATCACCTCTAACTTAAATAAGGATTAGATAGATACAGATAGATAATTCTGAAATATTTTAGAGAGAATTGATCCTGTTCATGTCCGTGGCCCTACTGCTGAAACTAATGTAGCTACAGGCACAATGGTATTTTACAACTGTAAATATAACCTATGACCAGATGAAAATACAGAATATTAAGCAGAAAATTCAGCATAGGAATGGCATAGTTTACATTAAGTTCTTTTTGCTATTCGAACTTTCCTTACTGTGAGAGTGGGTGTGGTTCCACAAGAGGTGGAAGGGAGCCTACAGGAGAGCTGGAGATGGACCTTTGTCAGGAAGTGTAGTGACAGGACAGGGGGTAACGGATTTAAATTGGAAGAGGGGAGATTTAGATTAAATACTAGAAAGAAATTCTTTGTAGTGAGAGTGGTGAGGCACTGGAACAGGTTGCCCAGGGAAGCCATGGATGCCCCATCCCTGCAAGTGTTCAAGGCCAGGCTGGATGGGGCTTTGAGCAACATGGTCTAGTAGGAGGTGTCCCTGCCCATGGCAGGGGGGCTGGATCTAGGTTATTTTCAAAGTCCCTTCCAAACCAAACCATTCTATGATTCTATGATCATTCACATATTCTGCAAAGTACATACAAGAATGTTACATTATATGCCAGTTTGTTTCAAATACATTAAAACAAACAAAAAATTATAAGCACAAGTATTGCCATCTAAAATGTACTAAAACAACACCCCATAAAAATCAATCCTCTTATTCATCATAACACAGAAGGTAATGATTATTCTAAGAAGGCATACATATACACAGATAGAGGACCTCTGCCTGCCTCCATTATCTGTGAGAAAAAAAAATTTCTTCACAAAGAGGAGTTGTTTTTATATAGGTCAATAGTGTATTACTTCCCTTGAACACTACAGATGTGTGAAACTGTAAAGAGATAATTCCTCTGTTTTTCCTTTAACCTAGCATATTTCTAAATCACAGCTCTTCTGAAATGTTAATGACTGATGTGATAGGATTGAAATAATAAGCATCTGCCAATCTCAGGAAGATATCAACAAGGAACTCCCACTCTACAAATGTTGCTACTGTAATGTGCACAGCCAGAATCTGTCTACTAGGTGAAATGCATGGAATGCATTGAAAAATTGTCTCCTCGTATTTTAGTAGCAAAAATGGTTAAAATAATTGCTTACAGAATTAGCTTATACTTTGTTGTTGCACAGACATGTTAATGAAGAGAGGTTAGTTGTAATTTAAGCAAATTGTTGAAGTGTCTTCAGGTCACACCTGTTTCAGCAGAAATATATTTTTTCCTCCTCAGGGATCTTTCTTTAGTTTATAAACTAGCAGGTCCTTGGAAGAGATGTTTCACGTGTTCTGATTCTGTATTTAATAAGATGAGCTCTAATCAAGGCCTGGAGTGAAGCTGCCTACTGTTGCGACCATCAAAGGAAGAAATATTTTTGATGTTGTATCTATAAATGAATCTGAATTTCTCTGTTCCTAATTTGCCATTATAATGAAGAAAACTAGAGCTAATTTGCATGTTTTGTGTTTATGCATATATTGCAAGCCTCCCATCTTTAATTAGTGGTTGATAAAACTGAGTTGAAGGAGTTAAAGATTCGCATGTCACTAACAACTATCCCACTAAAAATGGCAGGGAACAAAAGTCAAATGTGCTACTTGTTTACAATACCAAATGTATTTCAAAAAGGAAGATCTGTGATCACATCTATTAATGGTTTTGTGTCCTATGCCACCATCAAGATTGAAGCACTTAAGTCCTAGTACATGTGGCCATCGGTTGGTGGCTGGATTAACCATAGCTATTTTTCTGTGATTGACAATTTATCATCTGTTTGTGAATGACAAAGATGCTCCACACCATCATGATTTTTTTTGATCCCAGTTATTTACAGCTCTGATGATGGAGTGAATGGTGGGTGCACTCTCCTGTCCTTGGAACTCACATAAACCTAAGTACAGCCAAAGAGTACAGAGGCTCCACAGGCCCTCAATAAAAATGGTCCCTGAGAGCAAATCCACAATCTTGGTTTCATATCC